AATGTATTTCGCAACAAAAAGTCTAGTCTCACCCAATCAACATGGTTTCGTCCCCAACCGATCTACGGTTACTAATCTAGGCGTCTTTAGTGAGTATTGTATTGCAGCTATCTCGAACGGTTTCCAAGTCGACTGCATTTACACTGATCTTGCCAAAGCATTTGATAGAGTTTCGCACAGTTTGTTGGTCAGTAAGCTAGCCTCACTGGGTTTCCACTCAGTATTTTTGCAATGGCTCAAATCTTATTTTTCGGATAGGCGCTGTGTAGTCTCTGTTAATGGTTATTCTTCGGAATCTTTCATTGGCTCATCGGGGGTTCCTCGAGGTAGCATTTTAGGTCCCTTACTCTTTGTATTATTTGTAAATGATGTGAGTTCTTGTTTTTCATTTGCTAAATTTTTGCTGTATGCTGACGATTTAAAAATTTTTACTGTGATTGAAAATTCGCATGATGCGCTTAGACTTCAGTCCGAGATTAATATTCTACACAGCTGGTGTCTCAGCTCTCGCCTTTCTCTTAATATTAAAAAATGTTTTCAAGTTACTTTTTCCAAAAGTCACAGTATTCTTTCGACGTCTTATGTTATCTCTCAAACTCAACTTCAAAAAGTTCAAGAAATCAAAGACCTTGGTGTAATTTTCAGCTCTAATTGGTCTTTTAACAGTCATATCAGTCACATCATTTCTAAATCTTACGCTGTACTTGGTTTTCTCAGGCGTCAGAGCTCAATGTTCTCTGACCTCTATACACTTAGGGCCGGTTACTCAATGTCTGGTTAACACTAATCTCCGTTTAAACATCATTATCGACGTGTTCGGCTCCATGCATATAACATGGAGTCGGTAACGTCGATAACGATGTTTTACAGGAGATTAGTGTTAACCAGACATTGAGTAACCGGCCCTTAAGTTGTTATACACATCTTTTGTTCGTTCTAAGTTAGAATATGCTTATTTTATCAGGAGGCCATACCACTCAAACCTAATTAATAGGATTGAAAGGGTTCAAAAGGTTTTTCTTAAATTTGCCCTCAGAAATCTTAACTTCAGCGAGCCTATTCCATTGTATAAGTCTCGTTTGCTATTAATAGACCTTAAATCTCAGGAAGCCAGAAGATCTTTGCTATCTCTAACTTTTACTTTTAACTTAATAACTGGTGTGATCGATTGCCCTACGCTCCTAGAGCAGGTCAACTTCAATGTTCCTCTAAGGAATATTGGCAATCCTCTGCCGTTTTATGGTGGAAATTGTAAAACGGAGTATGCCAGAAATGCTCCTATTACAAGGGCTTTAAACGAATTCAACACGATCTCGAATTCTATCAAACTGGATTTCTCTCTTCCAAAAAGTGTATTTATTTTATCGTTGATCCCGAAACTGTAGAGTGCTTTATGTTTTACACGTATCGTCTAAGGGCCGTTTGCACCATGTCTAGTTAATTCTAACTCCCAGTTAAACATCTTTATCGACGTTATCGACACCCATCATATAACATGTGATCGATAAAGCAGTTAACGTGCTTAACTGAAGGATGTACCTTCAGTTAGCGTTAACTAGACATGGTGCAAACGGCCCTAAGTAGCTACATTTTTATCTCTAGTCTGTAAGGAACGTCTGTTTCATATGACTGCAATAAATTACAATACAATTACAATTACAATACAAATTGATGCACAACATACTATGTGTTACAAAAAATTTCCTATGGATGCGGGTTAAAACACCCATGCTGACATCTACCATGGTAAAGTAACGGTAGTAGTGCACTTTACGGGTACCAGGTCAAAATGGACGGAACAAATCGAGTGGTATCAATCGACGCGTTTTAACGCGAACAATAACAATCCGGGGGGAGAGGGGGGTGAATTAAGATTTTTAATTAATTTGAGTGTTATTCGCAAAAAAAACTGGCACTTTGCACTTTTCGTACCATGTTTTGATGAATTTGATGTAAATAAATGGAGTAAATTAAAGTTGTTCTCTGCAAAAGGTGTTCAGCCCCCCTTCTTTGGCAACACAGAAAGGAGAATTCTACTGCCTGAGGGTTATAATCCCTAAGTGCGGCCGAAGGCCGCCTACGCAAAAGGAGTTGGACGCCTGGTTCCGCTAAAGTGCACTTTTACCAAAGTAACTTATAACAATGTTACATTACACATAATAGTCTCTAAAATATATATATATATACGTTTCTCAACATCCCCGAAAAAACAATGACAAAACTAGTGACGTTATGCGAAAACACCCAAAAACTGATGTAATGGAAAGCAAACGCTTTTGGGTTTTTATATTTGAACAGGTTTTTAGGAACATTTTCACGTTGTTCCCACGACAGTCGGGTCTACGTAACCGGAACGACCCAGATTTATATCTGGCCAAGGACTGTAACTCCAGCTACACTCCCCAAAAACTCTTTGGGGAAGTTGTATGATGTTACAACACCAACAACACCAACACCAACACCAACAACAGCAACGACAACAACAACAACAACAACAACAACAACAGCAACAACAACAACAACATTTTCAGCAGCAACAACTGCAGCAGGTTAAACTCCTACCTGAGTGGATTGAATGAGGATGCGCCAAATGAGTGTCCGGCATGTGGAGAGACCCCACATGACTCGAAACATCTCTTCGCATGCCCGGAAAACCCGACAACCCTAACGGCCTTATCCCTGCGGACCAACCCCACAGGGCTGCCGTTAGTGGAACTTGACGACAACGACTGAGATACCCACAGTCCTGGGCGGAGTTTTTGCAGCCGCAACAACAACAACAACAACAACATTTTCACGTCTCCGTAGCTATACTGCACTTGTTCC